TGGTGGTGGTGGTGGTGTGGTGGTGGTGGTGGCTGTGGTGGTGATGTGGTGGTGGTGGTGGTGGATGTGGTGGTGGTGGTGGTGGTGTTGGTGGTGTTGGTGGTGGTGGTGATGTGGTGGTGGTGGTGGGGTGATGGCAGTGGTGGTGGTGGTGATAACAGTGGTGGTGATATATAACCATTTACATTTGGTGAATATAATAATTTGAGGAATATGTAACCATGACTTATGCATAGCCTGTAGCCCCACACACACATAACGCTGGACACATAACGCTGGACATAACGCTGAGACATAACGCTGAACATAACAAGAGGATTTTCTATTTAACACTGTGGCCTTTAGACAAATTCTAAAGAAATAAATATGTATCTTGAAGGACAACACACACACACACACACACACACACACACACACACACACACACACAAACAAACCTTTTATCATATCTGTATCGATTCATATCTTAAATTATGATCCAGACGAGGACAGTTTGACGCACTCCCATTCATCCATCCAGACAGACAGGGAGAGACAGACAGACAGACAGACACCGTCCCTCCCTGTCGGATGAACCCCAGAGAGAGAGAGAGACAGTGATGCCCATACCATACCAATGTTCATGTAAGGAGTTATATCAGGGTTGGAAGGATACTCTCCTGGGTACGTGTGCGTGTGTGTACTTGTGTTTTAGTTTACATATGAGTGCGTCAGGGAGTATATGGACCTAGACACACACACACACACACACACACACACACACAGAGGGAGGGGGGGGGAGGGGGGAAAGACAGACGAGTCGTTGTTCTCAAACCATCAACGGAACCATTGTACCCCACACACCCGTCATCGTATTGTTCCTAGCTCTCTTTCTCTCCCTCTCTCTCACACACTACCTAGATAGAAAGGTTGATAGACTGGTAGATAGATAGATAGTTTGATTGTCAGTATAGTTGCCATACAGGTCTTGTGTGTTTGTGTGTGGGTGTGTGTGTAGTACCTAGGCTAAAGGTGTGTACAAACAATAAGGCGATTGAATCAGGAGCAACACAAGGAAGATCTGTTAAAAGGTATATTTCTTTCATTCTTTCTTTCATTCTCTCTTCCTTTCTTCATTATTCGTCTTGTTTGTATATTGTTTCTTTTTATAAAGTTGTGTTGTTAAGTGGATGTTTACAGTCGGGAAGTGTGTGTGTGTGTGTGTGTGTGTGTGTGTGTGTGTGTGTGTGTGTGTGTGTGTGTGTGTGTGTGTGTGTGTGTGTGTGTGTTATCCCCTACTTTTCATGTACTGTGACGTATAATAAAACCTGCCTGTAACCTACCCTTAACTAACCTAACCTAACAACCCTAACCTGGCAGCCCAACCCAGCCTGCATAACAACCCAAGCCTAACCCAGCCCAACCCAACCTAGCCTAGCATAACCCAACCCAACCTAGCCTAACCCAACCCAGCCCAGCCTAGCATAACCCAACCCAACCTAGCCTAGCCTAACCCAACCCAGCCCAACTCAGCCTAACCTAAGAGCACTTACACAATCTAGCTACAACAAGGATCCGACAGAGAATGAGAGAAGATCCTGTCTCACTTAACGGCTAGATCACGGAGATAAGATTGTGGCGGCTTTGGCGGGTATAAACACAGGCGGGCAGAGTGAGGTACCCACCACAGCCACCATCTCCAGGCTAAATTGACAAATGTAACCACAATGACAGGACAGAAAATAATGTGGGTATCAAAGACTTGGTTAAGATAACAAGGATGTGGTTGTAATGTTTTCTTATCTAATCTAATCACCTAAAATAACCTAACATTAACATCTCCTGAAATAAACTAACCTAATCTAACCAGCCATAGTTCACAATGCTTAAGGACCTTCTCGAGCTGCCTCACTCTGCCTCTCACATCTTGGACTGAACCCAGGACACAAGAGCGAGGAACACGTGCGCCACCACTGTACCGCCAACACTCTAATGACGAAAAATTTAACGTAGGAGCCTTTGAAAGTCCATCTTTGTAGTGCCTTTGAGAGTCCATCTTTGTGTTGCAGTACCTTTGACAATAATCCATCTTTGTGTTGCAGTACCTTTGATAAATAATCCATCTTTGTGTTGCAGTACCTTTGATAAATAATCCATCTTTGTGTTGCAGTACCTTTGAGAATAATCCATCTTTGTGTTGCAGTACCTTTGAGAATAATCCGTCTTTGTGTTGCAGTACCTTTGATAAATAATGCATCTTTGTGTTACAGTACCATTGATAATAATCCATCTTTGTGTTGCAGTACCTTTGCTAAATAATCCAACTTTGTGTTGTAGTACCTTTGCTAAATAATCCATCTTTGTGTTGCAGTACCTTTGATAAATAATGCATCTTTGTGTTACAGTACCATTGATAATAATCCATCTTTGTGTTGCAGTACCTTTGAGAATAATCCATCTTTGTGTTGCAGTACCTTTGAGAATAATCCGTCCTTGTGTTGCAGTACCTTTGATAATAATCCATCTTTGTGTTGCAATACCTTTGATAATAATCCATCTTTGTGTTGCAGTACATTTGATAATAATCCATCCTTGTGTTGCAGTACTTTAGATAATAATCCATCTTTGTGTTGCAGTACCTTAGATAATAATCCATCTTTGTGTTGCAGTACCTTAGATAATAATCCATCTTTGTGTTGCAGTACTTTAGATAATAATCCATCCTTGTGTTGCAGTACCTTTGATAATAATCCATCCTTGTGTTGCAGTACTTTAGATAATAATCCATCTATGTGTTGCAATACCTTTGATAATAATCCATCCTTGTGTTGCAGTACCTTAGATAATAATCCATCTTTGTGTTGCAGTACCTTTGATAAATAATCCATCTTTGTGTTGCAGTACCTTTGATAAATAATCCATCTTTGTGTTGAAGTACCTTTGCTAAATAATCCATCTTTGTGTTGCAGTACCTTTGACAATAATCCATCTTTGTGTTGCAGTACCTTTGATAAATAATCCATCTTTGTGTTGCAGTACCTTTGAGAATAATCCATCTTTGTGTTGCAGTACCTTTGATAAATAATCCATCTTTGTGTTGCAGTACCTTTGAGAATAATCCATCTTTGTGTTGCAGTACCTTTGATAAATAATCCATCTTTGTGTTGCAGTACCTTTGAGAATAATCCATCTTGTGTTGCAGTACCTTAGGCAATAACCCATCTTTGTGTTGCCATCCTTGTGTTGCAGTACCTTAGGCAATAACCCATCTTTGTGTTGCAGTACCTTAGATAATAATCCAGCTTTGTGTTGCAATACCTTAGATAATAATCCATCTTTGTGTTGCAGTACCTTTGATAATAATCCATCTTTGTGTTGCAGTACCTTAGGGAATAACCCATCTTTGTGTTGCAGTACCTTAGATAATAATCCATCTTTGTGTTGCAGTACCTTAGATAATAATCCATCTTTGTGTTGCAGTACCTTAGATAATAATCCATCCTTGTGTTGCAGTACCTTTGACAAATAATCCATCTATGTGTTGCAGTACCTTAGATAATAATCCATCTTTGTGTTGCAGTACCTTTGATAATAATCCATCTTTGTGTTGCAGTATCAGGAGGCCAAATCTTCAACATGGTGGCGAGTGAGAGACTGTGGGCTCAAGAGGACGAGGGTAAGTGAAGTGTCTAGAGGTGAACGTTGGTTGGCTCCGAGCTAAGAGTCTTCATCCCTTGGAAACAATGGTGCCTCTTAAACCACAATACCCCCACCCCAACCCATCCCCCCTTCCTACTCCTCCACCCCCCCAACCCATCCCCCCTTCCTACTCCACCCCCCAAAACCCCACACTTCCCTCTTCTTCATCCACCCCACACACACGGAGTAGAGTTCACATACTGACGAACACACAATACTTCCCCGAACACTCTATTGCTAGATTAACCCGACTTAATCTACTCCGGGGATGAGACAGAAAATTATACCACAAACAATAATTATAACTGCTGCAAGAAACAATTATACCACACACCATATAATTTCTGAGGCTACCACCCAGCCCCATGATGCTAGCCAGAGTAGGAGCGGATGTCAGTTGGTAAGTGTGGTCAAGATCTATCTAAGTGTGAAAGTGATTTTTAAGCATGTTCCCCCACTACCACACACACACTTACAAGGTCACGCTAATTTGATGACGTGTTGTAGGTGTTTTGTAAAATGTATTGCTCTACATACATACATACATACATACACACATACACTCACCGATATATACTCATACACACATACATACACTAAGGCGACACAGTATTGATCATGCTTCAGGGACACTCGTTTCCACACACCATCACTTAACACTTGTTCAGACACACACACACACACACAATCATCTTACTCACGCTAACATATATACACACACATACACACACGCACACAACACACACACAATAAATCAGATCATAAATAACATATAATTGCTCTCAACATTAACTGACCTACTGCAGCTGTTAGTTAACCTTTCATACTAAATTCACCTTAAGAGTAAGCAACCTAACCTAAGTTGGAATGGAAAGTTGAGGTTGGGTTCTGCGTAGACAAGAGGGGAGGAGGGGGAGGAGGGGCTACACGTGGATTAGTAGATTCCTAGCAACCAACCACAACACACCAACATCAGGTGAGGAACACACACACACACACACACACACACACACACACACAATACAGTTCAGGTGTAATTTCGATGATTGTCTCCAATCAACTCGTTGAGTACGATGATTTAACCTCTAAAGTATGATAATTTAATCCCTGGAGCACGATAATTTAACCTATCGAGTTAAATTAAGTGAGGTTAGGTTTAGGTTAGGGCGATTAATCTATGGCATAAGCTGGGATGTCTAATCTTCAGGTGATCCGTCCTCACTCGTGGGGGTGCGATACTTTGGGGGGCCGACTTGACTCAACATACGACCCATAACTACCTGAGGGCCTTGTGTGAGGGAGCAGGAGTAAGCGCCACGTACCTCGTCAGACAGGGCGTATTTACCCTTGAGAATCTTCTTGTATAAGCGTATCCTGTCGGCGTCGAAGAAGGGGAAGTCACCGCGCAGGAGGATGTAAGATATCACGCCCACAGCCCACAGGTCGACGGCGTTGGTGTACCTCCGCCGAGCCACCATCTCCGGGGCGATGTACTCAGGTGTGCCGCATATGGTGCTCATTAACACGTCGTCCGCTGACCTGCCGCCACGACCCGACACACACCAGGGCAAGGGGAGGGCACGAGGAGGGCAAAAATGTACACTGTTAGTATATCGTTATAAAATATTGATCTTAAACATACATACACTGTTGTAACAAGTATAAGGGCGTCCCATACACCTGGCGGCCAATTAGGTACAGTCAGGATACAACACACTGTATAATAAGCCTTCAGTATACAAGGAAACAGTATGGCCGACACTGCAAACGACCACAATCACTTCCTCAATGGTAAAGTCAGGCACCCATCTATAGCAGAGGTAACACAGTCATAATGATGGACAGTACCACACCTTTAACTGTGGAAGGAGGGGGGGGGATAAAGTACGTACACACACACACACACACACACACACACACACACACACACACACACACACACACACACACGGTCAGAGAGAGATAGAGAGCCCTGTTGTTATTGTCTCGTATCTGTGAGCGTTATCGGAGACACATCCCATTCTTATCTCTGCCCCCAAACACCTCCATCACATAACACCTTCTTTACTGTTGATATCTTTAGTGTTCATGAGGTTAGGTTAGGTTAGGTTGGGTTGGGTTCGGTTAGGTTGGGTTGGGTTCGGTTAGGTTAGGTTGGATTAGGTTAGAATAGGTTGGGTTGGGTTCGGTTAAGATAGGTTAGGTTATGTCACGTACTGTACATCGGATAACAAGTGATTCCTATAATATATTGGATTACTTCGTCTCTTATAAATGTAATGCGCTATTATAACTTTCGCTCTAACTCTAAAAGGCCCTTTATAACACGAGACAGACACACCAAGTTAGTATATACAACATAAAACTAAAAATTTACAAGTCTGTTGGTAAGTGACGACTGTAGGTTATATCAGCCCTACCAATAACCTAACCTAACCCTACCATAACTTAACCTAATCTAACCCCTCCCCCTCTATAGTGTTAAGGTATAAGCTAAATTGGCTAAGAATCACCAGGTAAAATAAGCTAAAGGAGAGAGAGGGGGGGGGGGTAATACACAGGTAATTAATGCCACAAAACACCTCTATTCGGTCGATACTTTCTTTCTCTCTGTTGATTCTTTCTTTCTCTCTCTGTTGATTCTTTCTTTCTCTCTCTCTGTTGATTCTTTCTCTCTCTGTTGATTCTTTCTTTTTCTCTCTGTTGATTCTTTCTTTTTCTCTCTCTGTTGATTCTTTCTTTCTTTCTTTATTCTTTCCTTTACGTAATCAGCCAAATTTTTCCTCACGATAACATCAAGTATTTACAGCATTAAGTGTTATGTCACATGAACTTATCTAACAGACACTCAACCTCAATACTGTATTGTGTCACCCTGTCTTAATATGGCGCAGTTGTCGTGGTTAGGCTTGTTTAGGTTAGGGTTGGGTTAGGTTAGGTTAGGGTTTGGTTGAGTTGGTACGGGTAGATTAGGTTAAGTTGGGTTAAGGCAAAAAATTAATGGTCACAAGAGGGAGAGACGTTAGTTATCCATGACCTTTGGATTAGATCGGCGTGGCGGGCAGCTTTAAGGACCTACTGTATACTATAGCGTGTAGGGATAGTGTGTGTGTGTGTGTGTGTGTGTGTGTGGTCGTTGAAGTAGTTATAAAGGAAGGAGTGGCGTCGTCGGTGCCACATTTATCTTATAAGTTCATCAAGGGGTGAGAGAGAGAACACCATTCTTTGTCGTCCTCTGGTTCACACACTCATTCCTCCTTGTCCACTATCACCACCACCACTATATTTAACTCCCACCACCGCCACCACGAACCACCTGAAGATTAGCCCCCCCGTTTATCTTACCTTAATATTAAACACCCTAACCTACCCAAATGTTAAACTAACCTACAGCTAACACTAACTTAACCTAAGGCTAACCTCTTTTAACCCACCAAGGTCTATAAGCGTGTACTGTATACTAGTTGTTAAATTACAATGACCCACAACAGAATTCATTAAATACTGTCCACAACTCTTTCCCAGCACCAAAAACCTAACCTAACCATAACTAAAAAGTCTGCCTCACTAATAAACAAACCCACTATATTAAGTCACGTTTGGTCAGCTATAAATACTGTTAATCAAGAGACACACATATACAGTCCACGATCAAGTTGTTTGTGCCGCCACCAGTACAGGGTGTGTCATACGCGGTGCTCCATACTGTGACCCATTATGACTTATTTAGTGATATTGTCTACGTGGTGTTTCCCAGGTAAACTGAAGTGTGTGACGAGTATGGTTCAGTTGTGTGCTCCGCTGAGATTAATATTACTGCGCTTCAACAACTTAAGTCTCTAAGAGCGTAACTAGGCTAGTAATTACTGTACACTAATCCATCAACAAAGAAAATTAAAGCGACACACAACTCCTTCATCAACTCAACATAAATATCTTACGGCAATGGTTGCTGTGTGTGTGTGTTCATTGGTTATGTATGTTATTTATACCGAATTATGGGGATCAATATCATTCATGCTGCATCAGAAGATTAGTTACAGTACAGTATACAGTACTTCTGCAGGCTCCAAAATTTTAACCCTTTTGATATACATATAGTGTGTGTGTGTGTGTGTGTGTGTGTGTTGAACGTACCTAAAATCAAAGGATAAAGATACCAATAAGTCAACCGCTGTCCCACCTGTGATCAAATAACAAATGAACACATAAACAGAGGCTTCATACTAAAGCACTTGCTGGCGATGGCTGATTATAATAACCTTAATATATAAAAAAAAAGTCTTCCATTACCCGAGGCCAACCTTATCAATCAACCAAATGTGTCGTAGCCTAGTAAATAATAAGGAAGAAACTTAATGGTATCGTGTGTAGAGCATGGCACTGTCCTGGCAAATGATCATTACTTTATTGTATTTCTTCTACGATCATCTGGATATTAGACACCCCAGTTTAATTCACCTGACAATTAGCCACCATAAAACTACCTGGGGAGATTTGGTTAGTTTAAGTAAGGCTAGAGATAAGGTCGATAATCTTCAGGTGAAATAAGCTGGGGATTGAAGTGTCTAATCTTCATGTAATCCAAAGTATATCATTTAATAATAAAGAAAGACAATTCACACAAGTTCTCCAGCGACCAGGGCGATACTATTCACTCATGGATAACATTAATAGCCAAGACGAGAGAGACCTTCAGAGAGCTACTGTACATGCAGCAGACGATGGTGCGACAGTGAATTATTATATTTTACACAAAAAATTTCCTGGAAAACTTGGATCACTCAAGGAATATTTCATATAAACAAACATCGTTACTTCAAGGATAAGTTAAAACATACCAATAAAAGGCCAAAGACGAAAGCTAAGGTGCTCCGTTGTTTCCCTTTTCCCGTGTGATTTTATCAAGATTTATCTTATCCACGTTTTCATTGTGGATCTACATGATATATATATATATATATATATATATATATATATATATATCCAACATTAACTTCCAATGAGTTCGAATTAATGATAGTGTTTAGTAACTTGTTCCACTAATACACAATGTTATTTCAGAACCAATATTTCCCTACTTCATAGATCAAAAAATTTCCAACTTTAAAAAAAATCAACCTTACGTGTTCACTCCCGCTTTGTTACCGGTTCTCTAAATAGTTACATCACCGTTATTCGACAGCTCTACTCTAAAAGATATGGACACTTGAAACAACCACACAGAAATACAGATGTTGGCAAAGGTAATATGGTAACAATGAACACAGATTTGTTTGAAGAATTTACATGGCAGTGACACCATGTTGGGACATTACATAAGGAAAATTACTTTACTGTTTGCCATTTTGTATACCTGCACTGTGTAGGTACTGCACACCCTTGCATGTACACCTGCGTTGTCTATATGTATATTGAATAACTGCATACTTGCATGGAAATTTTACTGAATAAATATCTTTCTATCTAGCCTGAGGAGCAAACTAAAACAAAACAAAAAGATGATTCGAGTTTGTGAAGTAACTGAACACCAACATTAACACTATTACGGTAATCAGTATGGAAGGAATGGAACAACTGTAGGAGAGATATCCCATGAAAAACGCGAATGTCTTTGTTAATTTCAGTGGCAAGTACTGTATATTGACAGCAGCAGCCAGATTCACAAATAACCTATAGTACCTGAAGATTAGGCACTCCATCTTAATCCACCTGAAAATTAAACCCCATAACACTAACCTAACCCTCACCCCGGGTAAGTTAGGGTGTTTCATAATCTAGTGAAACAAGCTGTGTGCAATCTTCAGATGATACAGTAACAAGTATTTTCACTTCATCGGTTTGGTTTAGTTCTAAGTTTTAACCCAACAAACCCTGACTAAACGTGGGCGACTTTTGAAAGTTTATGAATTCACATAATTAGCACACACAGTACTTTATGCATAATCCAGGACACAACTACCATCCCAAGATAATGACGGTAGTTCCACGGGTCAGAGTGGCTACGAGGCTAACATACAGATTGGAAGACCAAACATAACCTGACATAGCTTAATTAAATTTATGTTACATTAGCTGATCAAGTCAGACTTAACGGGTTAGGTTACGCTAAGCAAGTTGGGTTAAGTTGATGTAGCTAGGCTAATCTGATTTAATAGTTTAAGTTGACCAAGCTAGGTTAGATTAATTAACATAGATTTAACTAAATTAGGTTATGCTAAATTGATCAACCAAGGTTAACTTAATTGAGGTGTTAAATTGATTAAGCTAGGTTCAGTAAGTTGATTAATCTAGGTTAAGCTTGGTTAAATAGATTGGGATCTCAAGAATAGTCATCCCAACTTATTTCACCAATGACTTAATTTACTAATACTAACCTAACCTAACTTAAACCCCATTTGACGTTAGGGTGTTCAGTCATCAGGTGAAATAAGCTGGGGTGCTCTTAACCTTCACCATTTTTTTTTGTTTCGTATCGTTTGTTTTTTAAAAGTTTCAGCAACATGGCGTCCCGGAGCTGGCCTTCAGCGTGTTTGTTTGCCGCCAGACATGTTTTACCAATCTTGCTTACAGGCAACGTTGTATACCTGCATTCTGAATGTGCATTGTTTGTATACTTATACCGTCTATATACAATGTATACCTTCACTCTACACTTTTACATATACAGTATGCTGAACCAATATAAACTTGTAATACAATTTTACCGAATAACAATCTATCTAACCATCTCATCACAAACTGGCGGCTCACTTATTGTAAATCAATCATGAGTACAGATTAGCTCAGATTTGGGATTAGTAACCTGAAGATTAGCCCCTAACTTTGTGGTATGTACAGTATGTATCCAGTACTTGTGAAGCAGCACATATTTTACATCAGGTAATATTTTTCTGAATACAGTATAAATGTAAGTATTGGTGATTACCTCCCATCAAACTATATATTTTCTAATCAATGTACAATAATTTAAATAGCCTAATGTAACCTAACCTTAGTTAATCTAACACTGTACAGGCATGCCATGTCCGAAATAATTTTATGCAGTAACTCAGGATCACGTGAAGATTAACTCTAGCTTATTTTATGAACACCCTAACGCTACCTGGGGGGTTAGGTTGGTTATGTTAGCGTTAGGTTAGGTTGGTTATGTTAGCGTTAGGTTAGGTTGGTTATGTTAGCGTTAGGTTAGGTTGGTTATGTTAGCGTTAGGTTGGGTTGGTTATGTTAGCGTTAGGTTAGGTTGGTTATGTTAGCGTTAGGTTAGGTTGGTTATGTTAGTGTTAGGTTAGGTTGGTTATGCTAGCGTTAGGTTAAGTTGGTTGTTAGCGTTAGGTTAGGTTGGTTATGTTAGCGTTAGGTTAAGTTGGTTATGTTAGCGTTAGGTTGGGTTGGTTATGTTAGCGTTAGGTTGGGTTGGTTATGTTAGCGTTAGGTTGGTTATGTTAGCGTTAGGTTGGGTTGGTTATGTTGGCGTTAGGTTGGGTTGGTTATGTTAGCGTTAGGTTAGGTTGGTTATGTTAGCGTTAGGTTGGGTTGGTTATGTTAACGTTAGGTTAGGTTGGTTATGTTAGGTGGTACAAGCAGGGGGAGGGGGTTAAACCTAACTCAAAAGCAATACTGTACCTAAAAAAGGCCTATTAACAAAATCTAAATAACCATATCTCATTAGCGGGAGACAGGAGCTACTCACTTCCTGGTGTGTGCTAGGCCAAAGTCAGTGATCATGAGGCGGGAATCATTGCCTGGGTGGTAATACAGGAGGTTGTCGGGCTTGAGGTCCCTGTGAGTGATGCCCAGGTTGTGTAGGTACTTCACTCCCTCTAACACCATCTTCAGCACCTTCACCGTCTCCTTCTCCGAGAAAGGTCCTCGACTCAAGATCTTGTCGAACAAGTCTCCGCCAGTAGCCAGCTCCATCACCATGTAGATTTTGTCCACACTTTCAAACACTTCCACCAGTTGGATGATGTAGCAGCACTTCACACGTCTCAAGATGGCCAGTTCAGCCTCGAAAGCTTCCCGACCTTCCTTAGACTCAATGATCTTGATGGCGTAAGGCTGTTTGGTTTGCTTGTTCTCCACCCTAACCACTTTGCTGAAGGTCCCAGTGCCAATGAGGGCCTTGATGTCGTACTTGGCCGTGATTCTTGGGTCGTACTTCGTTTTAAACTTGTTATTCTTATTAATTTGTCTATCTAATTTTATTCTCTCGGCCAAGTTCGAGGCATTATCCACTCTCAACTCACACTTCACTTCCGTCTCGTTGGCTCCACCAGTTTTCTCACCTAAAACATCGTCAACATGGTATACCGTCTTAATGTCACCACCGGAAACATTTTCGATCATTTTCTTGCTTTCTATACAACCCATGACGGTTTACTTGGTCGCAACATACTGCATTAACCATTTACAATTCACAACATCAGGAAGACACCTCCGTACACCCACACTCCCAGCGTCTGCCTCAACAACTAGCTGTAAGGAGATTAAGCGAACCGACACAAGCGCCAAGGAATATCTAATAAGAAAGTTAAACTCGAAGCGGTTAGGAGGGACGCAGTTGGCGACATTTGGTATCTATTTTAGTTGGTCGCCATTGTGACGGAGGTGTATCGTCTGCATTGTTTACTCCTTTATATATTTCTGACCGCGACATTAGAATGCATAATGGCTCTACCTGGGTATAAATCTTGCTCTGTCTGAAAAAAAAAGAAGAAAACGTTGTAAAATCAATTAAAATTGTAGGCATTGTGGCAAAGTCACGGTCACTGATAGTCACGCAGCGAAGAGGGCGGAGTCAGCGAGAGTAAACGGCCAATCAGGAGGACGTAGTCCAGGGCAAACGGAGAAATGACCCGCTGCAGTTAAGTCTGGAACCTGTCTGAAAATAATGGGAATGTGTGTCAGTTTAAGCTTCCTTATTAGATATTCCTTGCGTGGCGGCGGCCACTTGTACCCTCACACAACAACCCTACCATTATTGTCTACCAAGCATTCTCAACTTTAAACCTAAAACCCATGGTATTCAATATGTAATGCAACTAATTTATCATTAATTTCAATCATAAAGCTGTTTACTATTGTTAGAACAGTATTAATCCCGAAGTGCTTCTGTACATTGATACCAATTTAGTTTTTCTATTACTTTAGTCTAACTGAATAAATATATTTATATTTTGTTTATCAATTTAAAGAGACATCGTGTGTAAAGTCTCTTTCACGTCTAAACTTATATCTTGGTTGCAGATTGGTTTTGTAATTCCTTGTAACGTGACAATAACACTTTGAGAAACATGACAAAATTGATTTTTGTGAACCTATATTTATTGCTTCCACAGCAGCTTACACCTGCCAATCCTTGCACTTCTAAGTCTTCCTTCTTGCACTTTTCATTAGTCAATACAATGTTGTCCTTTATAATTACCGGGATATTTATTGTTCAGTGGGAGTGTACGTCTGCATCAGCATGTTCCCCATACAATTTGTAGGAAACTGGAAAATTTTATGTTAAGTTAAACTGTTAAAGCAACCCATAGTAAGTTCAGTCCTTAACCTTGTGTGAGATAAATTAATTAACACCATTAGAGAAGGTTTTAGCCAGGAAGTTAGCACAGTATAGAAACGATTAAATCTTATCTCTCGTGAGGAATTTGGCTAATTCTTACTAAGTTTAATATTTTGAGGTAGTTCATTTACTTGTTAAGTGACATAGGCATAACGCATTTTACAATTCAAGGCTAAACTGCTTAATAGAGGCACAAGAAGTGGAAAAGAATAACAGGTGAAGAAACGGAGTAAGGAACAGTGCCCCTTCATAAATCTTGCCTTCAGCCAATCAGCATCCAGCTTCAGATGACAACAATCCCATTCACCAATCATCGCTCGATCTCCTCTGCGTCTATCGGTTTGTCCGAAGCCTTAACTCACTGACTTCTTTGCCACTTTTATTTGTATTTCTTTTTGTAATTTTAAGTCACTTTGGCAACTAAAATCTATTATTTTTGTGTATGTTTTTATTGTTTTTTATTAAATCTGATATTTATTGTATTTTAAAACATATTGATAATATTGTTCATAGATATTTACAGTAATCGGACAAACGATCAAGATTACCCTCACCAACATGGCTGATGGACGGAACACTTGTTTTGAATAGTGATTTACTGCTATAGTTCACCTTTAAAAGAATGAATATGTCTTGACTAGGTAAGTTAGTATATATTGTCTTCATCGGTGTGGCTAACATAGTGTCCTTGTGACTAGAATATCTTAAATTGTCCTGTCAACAAGTGGTCATGGAACAGGGCTTAGGATCTAACCTGAGAAGCCAAGTAAATTTTGTTTTGACTGAACAAGGTGACTGTCAGGAAGTGTTAAGTCGCTGCTAGACTGGTGTGCGGATCAATGGTGTACCTGTCACTCTATAACAAATTCGGAAGCACGAGAATTAAAGATCCAGAGCACGACACTAAGGTAAAATGGATCAAGGGGGAAAAGTTTTAAGGTCACATTGTCATTAATCTTGAAATCTCACCAATTTCACTTATATAAAAACTCACTAGTGTTTTGTGTGGTAATGCTTGTTCAGCCATTTCTGTGCACGCGAGTTTGGTGTTTATAGTGACTTATGTGTATCAGAAAGTTGTCCCTTACCCCAAAAGTAGCTTGTGTCCACCTGACCAATTATAATTTATCTATAATGATGTTTCTGCAGTTTTTTATCCCCAATATCTTACACTTAACCACCACTAAATCTGAAGTGTTGTTGTTTAAGTAAATATGCCAGTGATCACAACCTTCCCGAATAATAATACAGTATAGTTGTTTGTTATTATAAACCACTTAAAGAAAAAATCCATAGAAAACAACTTGTTTCTTACCTTTTGAATGTCAGTAAAAGTTTGGAGAAATTGCCACTTTCCTATTTTTATTTGTTCTGATATTTATGTCATGAAGGCAAATCTTGGTGGACCCTCCACCTGAGTGTGCCGCCATTATCACCTAAACCTGACCAAAGTTTCACGCCTAATTCTCTGATGCAGCGAGTTCACAGTTTTTATACATTGTGTTTCCTAAAAGTGTCGAGAGCATGAGAGTTTTTGGTTCATGGGGGATAAGATAATTTTTTTAAAAGCAAGAGGAGCATAAAAATTTCAAAAATATAAAATTGCAAAACATGATGTAGTCAAGGAATTTTTAAGGATGTGTTTGTATGAGTATTAGTGTGTAAGCTGTTACCCTTTTAAACTAGGGATGGTTGATAATGCTGCACAGTACTGAGGAGTTATTCCTGAAGGTGTAACAAGTTAGGACTTAAGGTGAGAAGATTTGGTGTTACTCTGAGTGTTTGTCTTAATGGTGTCTGTCTTACATGTTTCAGACCATCACAGTGTCTTGTGGTAGTGCATCACAATGGGTAACAAGCACAGCTGTTGTGTATACCCTGGAGGGCGGGGGTCTGGCCGCTCTTCTTCCAGTCAAAAGGTACGTGTTACTACTCCTCACTAAACCAGGTTTTATACACAACAAGATAGAAATTGAAATTTTCAACCACAGGACCAGAGAATGTTGGATGTTTACTTGGCAGATTATAGAAATTAAATATATTTAAATCATACTGCAAGGTACAATATTGTATATCTAACAACAGTATATAATATGCATATTATTTACAGGTTGTAATTCTTATCTTCCATATACTGTATCAGAAGCAGGATTACATGAAGATTAATCACCCTAATAGCCAAGTCCACTGGGAACCATTTGGGGGGTTAATCTTAGGTGAAAGAATCTGGGGTGTGTAATCTTCAAGTGATTCCAGAAATGTAAGATGATGACTAATGCAGCGATGGTGTGACCTTACAGGGAGCCGGTGGAGGGTCGGGGGAGGCCAACCATGAGGATGTGTCCGAGGAGCACATGTGTAACTTACAACACATCAGTGAGAGAGAGCCTGATGATCTGGACCAGGACCCCAGCCTTCATCCCTCAGCTGGTCCACTCTTCCTCTCAAAGTCTAAACAAGTTATAGAAAGTTAGTGACTCGAGTACTGTACTATTCATCGTCTTTTGATTATTTTTTGTATACTGTATTGTATTTATTTACTTTGTTTACCTAATGGCCAATCACTGTTGATCTGGAAGAGGCTAAAAATAATTTCCTAGAATTGGATGCTGTAAAAAGTTTAAAATTTATCTTATTTGTGAGTGAACGAATCAGTTTCTTTTGCCATTGTAGGTTCTCGGTACTAGTTATTACATGCACTGTACTGTACTGTAGGCATATGGTCATCAGCAGTAAAATAGTGGCCTCGTTGGCACTTAAACAGCCATTTCACTCAACAGCTTGCTCTAATGGGCTCTCTTGTGTGTTACGGTGTGGTGTTGAGACCGTGAGAAACTTACGATCAGTTAACATGTGTATAATATTTTTGTCTCTTGCAGATGGACTAGTCAGAAGAAGAAGTAGAAGTCATGTGAGTGTTTTCTTGTGTTTGAATACTCTCTCTCTCTCTCTCTTTTTTTCTTTTTTTTTTATATGGGGGTGGGGTTATTCTCCACTCATTGGTGTCTGATAAAACTTTAAAAGATAAATTTAAAGGGTCACTTGGCATAAACCATTGCATAAAGTGTTTGAAATGTTCCGTAACTCATCAACAGTGTGCAAGTGAAATGTTGTACAGTTCAATATAACCAGGGGAGGTATAGGAGGGACATACTATGCTGTGGTGAAGAATTTAATCGGGTCTTGTCTGTCAGAATTTGTGCTTTATAGTTCCCCTTAAACAGCGGCCATCATCAGTGGAAGTTTCATGTTCTTTGCATATGGGGGCAGTGTAGGGAATCCTTAGCCGCTTGTTAATGGTTAAGAGGGTGTTGTCTATAAGGAACATGTGCATGATAAGACGATAAGAGTCTGGATGTAAAAGATTATCTCATGCTCACCATATTTTTATGTTCCAGTTAGACGACGGGAGGACACTGAAGAAGTCGTCGTCGTGTTCAACCATATACTTAGATGATTCTACCGTCTCTCAGCCTAATCTGAAAAACACCATTAAATGTGTAGCTCTTGCAATATATTACCATATCAGAAATCGAGCTGATAACCGAATATTGGATATTTTTGACGAGAAACTTCATCCTCTAACCGTAAGTCGATACATACTTGGCTTAATTTTTTTACCACAATTTTTCCATACTCTATATGTAAGTGTCGGTCTGGAATATTACCCTCTAAAAAATATAATTGCCTTTAAAATTTTTACTTTTTCTGATGTTCCTTTGTTTTTTATCACATTTACCTTATGTTTTACAGAAACAAGTAATTGTGTTATTTTTATTATTATTATTATTGATGTTACAGTATTTTTTAGATTATACGGTACTATAAATGTAACATAAATTAGCTTTGTTGCTCTTACACTGTGATTTTGTAACTTGTGATAGAAGAGTTGGGCTTAGGGGTGCCTGTAGTAAGATTTTTAACTCAACCTTAGGCTTGGATATGACAGATTATGATAACAGTGTGGTGTACAGGTGTGTTGCCGCCCCTTGCCATAGTGGTGCTGTAGGAGGTGGTGTGTAGGAGAATATAACTTTGTCTTTAGGTGCATCATGCATGTATTCTTCCTTATGTTGTTAGGATTAGAG